CAGCCAGGGTCAACCCACCACAGACCTGAAGTGTGTGAAGAGTACTCCTGTGATTGGTGCCACACTACTTTGAAGGGAAAAACATTTCATGTGATCAGAGTCTTAAAAAATGTGTTTCCTCTGATTGCCCTCTGGTTTAGCCTGTTTGGATGGAAAAGTAGTTTAAAGTAAGCGACTCCATCGTTTAAAAAACCAACCAACCAAAAAGGTCAACATAGGTATACAGCATTAGTTTAGGTGAATCAACTTAAAAACTCTTTCAGGTTGGATCAATGTATTTTTCTCTTTTAGGCAGTGAATATTCCTGAGGAGTATTTTTTGAGGCTAAATGAAAAGACGCTGAGAGGAATTCAAATAGAAAATGGGGGAAATCCATGTAAGAAAGTGAAAAAGTGAAACTGAAATACTAACAAACATGTTCCTACCATGTAAGCTCTGCTTTTTGACTGTCCGGGAATATCTATTAGTTTAAGTTTTTCTGGCCTAGTGTTGGAGAACATAAAAGGAAATTTGGAAAAGAACACTTGGGAAAACTGGATTTTACAGTATTGGCTGGAATAACCATTGCGAAACCAATGTGATTCTTTTTGTTGTGATATTTACAACTAATATTACAGTTGTTCTTTGTCCCTAGGGAAGTACTTTATAGTCAAGAAGAGTATTTTGCTTCATAATTTATACCTAATACAGTCATTTGTTAAAGATTTAGGAAGAATAGAGAACATCTTGTATCAGAAAAAGTTAGTGGTTTACGTGCAATAATTAGAGAAAACAGTGGCTTGATTTCCTATTTAAAATTATTTTCCTGAATAATGTTCTTAATTGTATCTAATCAAAATGATTCCTTTTTGATTATACCAGAATCATCTAACAGTGAGATGTAAGAAAAGGCTTCCTACACTACAGTAAGCTCATTTTATTTGCCAAGTTATTAAATAGCTTTTCGTTTTTTCAATCTAGAGAGGTACTCACAAACCCACTGTGCTGGCAGTACGCCGTCCTGCTTAACAAGTTCAGCCAGCCTGTTGAACTGGAGAACACCTTGCATGTGAAGGGATATTATCCTGCCTTTCAAGGACCTTTGCCCTATCTTCCGGCATCGTTGAAGTGTTACATCAGGAGAAATCCCGGGAGATTCCCTGCACAAAAACACCAGGCTGGTAAACTGAAAGACTATTACCTGCTGAATGCTGCTTCGCTGTTGCCAGTGTTGGCGTTAGAAGTGAAAGATGGGGAAGATGTTTTGGACCTCTGTGCTGCACCGGGGGGTAAATCGGTAGCTATGCTGCAGTGTGCTTATCCAGGTAATGTATCCAGGTGCCGTTAGGAGCTGATCCCTGGCTCCGAGCCTGGGCTGTTTCAGTCACGCCTGTTTTCTGTACAAGGTGTGGATTAGGGGGAAAATAACAAACAACAATTCATATTCCAAGTAGTTCCATACTGTTTAGTAAGATTTTTATGAAGTCTGTTTACCTAAAAGAGGACGAAAATGCAGCAGTTATTTAAATACAGGTTACTGCTGATTGACAGACAAAAGTGGAGTAACTGTTTTTCTTCCTCCACTGGTTCCCTTACTGTTACTTCTCAAGAAGTTACTTAAAATCACATAGATTTGTTGGCACAGGAAGGTAAGTAATCTGCAATCTTAGAATACTTGTACTTCTTTTCTTTTTTTTCCTTTGCTACCTCTCTGACCAATGCTATGCAAATAGTACAAGTAAATTTAAGTGTACTTATGTAAAACAGACCATAACAAATTAAATGTGCAAGATCTAGGCAGAGGGAGAAAACTTATGATGAGGAATGGGTCTATATCAGTATTTAATAAGCTCTGTGTCTCCATTCACCTAGATGTTGCAGAAGGGCACTAAGATAATGACAGTGTTTAGAAGGGAACAGCAAGCAGTAGCTCAGTTCTTCCAGGCCAGGGAGTTAAAGCAAGCTGTGATTGCTGTTTCCAAGTTTATGTGTTAGCTTGAGTGGTAATTGTCTCAAAATGTTCACAGCACCTTATGTTCTCACTGATGAGACCATTACTGTAACCACCTGCACCTGTTGATTACAGCTGGTTCTCCCTCCCTCTTCTAGAGGAATGAGGTGATGCCAATGAGGTAAATTAAATGTGGATTGCCCTTTAAAAAGGTTTGGAAAAACACACCACTTTCATCCCATGGCTGCTTCTGAAGATACCAAGTTGTTGTTGAGAACGTAAGATGTAAAGAAGTTGATTCTTAATGTATCTCAGCAAATACTAAGATGTACCATATTGTGTGTGGCAAACATGGTGTAGGACAACCTGTAGAGACATGAAAATAGAAATTTTATTAAATTAGAAAACAGGACTAAGAGGAAAAAATATGCTGTCTTTCTGGTCTGGGTACAAGCAACAGCAGCATTTCTTCTGAAGGGGTAACTACTCTGGCTACTTGTTAAAAGTAAGTGCAACCAAAAGGCTTTTGTTAAAACACTTCTACCTTAAATGTCAAATAAATAAGGGGTTGGACTACTTGGCTTAGGATACATAAAACTCATGTTTTATTTATTAAAAGGCGATTAATTAGTAAGGGGGCATGTACTTCATTTAGACAATGGCTCAAGGAGCCCAGAAGGCACTCACTTAGCACTGGTCTTTGGATATGGATCATGTTTAAAGTTTGTTTTACTGTGGAAGTCTATTGCTACAAAAACTATTTGCTAGTAAATATTTACGGGTTGATCTGTAGGAGCATGTTGAAATTTACTCAGGTTTATAAAAATTCAGCAGAGTTACAAAATGTGCAATAATATAAGCACATGAGGTATAAACTCTATGGCAGTCATGGCAAAACAGTAGAACTTCTGAAATCTGTGTAAGTCCTTATATTTGTAAAGAAACAAAACAGAAAAAGCATAAAGACTTCTTTTAGGGTGTTTACTTCATTTTTTTAATTTTCTAAGGTCATTTTCACTGTAACGAACATGATGATTTGAGGTTAAGATGGTTGAAACAGACAATAGAATCCTTCATCCCGGATCCTTTGATTAACTTAATAACAGTCTCTAAGCTGGATGGTAGACAGATTGGAGACCTTAAGCCTGAATTATATGACAAGGTAATGTTATTACTTACTAGCAAGTGGTGTTTCTGTATGCTGCTTCTTTTTCTTCCTATGCTGATTTTTAAAATTCTGTTTTTTATCTGGCCCCCACAAAAACATCTGACCTATCAAGGGGAACCAAGGTCAGTACAGGATTTGCAGAGCCTCAGGAATCACTTTATGAAGCCTGTTGGGCTTTTATTCATGTGTTAGATGATGTTACCCATTTTAGCCTTGGTAGTGAATTCTGAAGACCTTGGAGCTATGTTCTTTGCATGATGTGTGATTAGGAAGGGGGGGAATAAGTGAGAGCTATTTGGGTAGAGGGTACTTTCGGAGCAGTAATTTCTTCTCTTCCCACCCCAGATAACTCCATAAAAACATCTCAAAATAGTAATTAGATAATTTCTGCTCCTAAAATGGAAAATAAAAAGGGTGTTCTAAGTGTCTGCAAAAGTAAGTTGAGTAGATTTTTGGCATGCAGTGTTCAGAAAGTGAATATCTTTATTGTGAATTGTCTTCTTTGCTCTTATTTATTGTATAGGTACTGGTTGATGCTCCTTGTTCAAATGACAGAAGTTGGCTATTCTCTTCTGATGTTCAGCAAGTCGCGCTTAGGGTAATACAAAGGAAGGAGTTACCGTGTCTACAATTCCAGCTGCTAAGGTGAGAAGTGCAAAGGAGAGCTCTTAAAGGAGCTTTTTGTAATTAATAAAAGTGACAGGGGGGCAAGATTTGTCCTATTTAATAACCAAAACCAGGTTTCACCATGTGAAAAGAATATGAAGCATATCTTGATGCAATGCTCTTTAGAATAACCGATTGATCTAGGTTAATGTGAATATGGAAATTTGTATGGGGTAATATAAGCAGTGAGGCCTAGGTCCTCTACTACCATGCTGCTCTACAGTCTTAACTCTGTTATTCACATATATGTCCCTTTTCAGGTGACTCGGAACAGTCTGGCACTATAACGAAATATTTTTAGTGGACACAGCTGAAAAGGTTTCAGATATATTCCTCAGCTGAAGCAAACACACACATGTAATAGTGTTTTAATAGTGGTTTGGGTTTTTTTTAAACTATCTGTGAAAGTAGTCTATAAACCTGCCAAACTGGGCATTCTTCCCCAGACTCCTTTTGTTGTTGTTCTTCCACAGAATTAGCCTTTACGGTTCTTTATTACAGCCTTTTTGATACTGTAAGTCAGGACTTGTTACCAACCATCACTTAGGTCACTAGTTAATGCTGCTTCAGAATTTGCTTTCTGGGCTCTTTGTATCAAGAGGTTGAGTCCACTATTGCACACTCTTGCATGCTACTTGAATTTAATACCCATCTGACTATTTGTAGCACAGAAAGATTACTGATTGTAATTGATAGGGTAAAAATGTAAAAGAATGTGGGATTTGGTGGGGGAAGAGAGGATTGTTTGTTTATTTTTCGATAACATCCACCCAATAATCCGAATCAGGGTTGTCATGTGTTACACTTGTTAATGGTACCAGCCACAGACCAGCGTTTGCGAAGCATTTCAAACTCTGCAGTTTTTCTTGTTGGGCAAAAAAACCTGATGACTTCCCAATAATACCTTCTAGGCTCGAGTAGGGTTTTTTTGCAAAGTAACAGTCATGCCTGAAGTCCATCTTTCAAAGCAAATTGAGGGAAAAATAACATATTATAAAAAAGAAAAAGTTTTTATGGAAAGTTCCCATTGCAGCAGTTTAAGATAGTTTTGCATGACTTCCAGTTGAAAAAGGCCTGGCAGAAGCCTATGATTTATAACAGAAATATGAGTATCTTATTGCAGTAATGCATCATGTCACCCATTTCCTTTGAAGAAATCAATCACATGTAAAACACTGACCTGTTTCAGTTTTCCCTTTTCAATATTTGACATACAAAATCCAATTTGTGAACCCCTACCAAAAGAAAGCATCTATCATGCAGAGAAATTTTGAGTATTTGCATAAATCACTCCAGATTGTAATCCTGAAGTGAAGAACTCATGACAGCAGGAACCTTTTTTTTTTTTTTAAAAAGGAGACACTCCTGTCAGCCCAAATCAGATTAATTGAATTATTCCTAAATCAAGAAGAGAACGTTACTTCTGTTGAAAGTGTACTTTACGATAGCAACAGCAATAAGAATTGGATTTGTAAGGACAAAATACTTTTGATATGTAAGTTGAAGTAAAAGAATGGTAATTTCTCTTTCATTTCTTAACATAGGTCTGAGCAATTCTGTAGATTGACCAATCTATTGTTTAGTGCATTGGATTTTTTTTTTGTCTTTTAAAAGATTTTTGACCATATGAAATAAATGGTTAGGTTCAGGAGTTAGAAATTACAAGCATTACTGCGTAAAATATTTGACATATACTTAGTAAATGGTATAGCTGTTCACTGTATTTTTATTGTTCCTTTGATCACTTTAGAATGAATTTCCACTACTAAAGACATCTCAGATCCCATGTGAAAGGGAAAAAGGAAATGATTAAATGAGTCAGGGAAAGGCTAAATGATTCATGCAAGTGCATTAAAAGTTTGGCAAAACTAAAATTGTGAAATGCTACCCTATACAAGCCTGTGTTTTATGGCTAGAGTGCATAATTAGAAATAAAAAAGTGAGTTTGAATCCCATCTCTGATACTTCCAGTAATATTCAGAAAGGCTGAACCTACATTAATCTAGCTGTGCCGCATTTTACGTGAGTCAGCTCATGCAGAGCTACTTCTGGCTTGTCCACATTACCTGGTGCTTTATGTTCCTGGGAGATTCTCACCTTGGTTCCTGTATCTGTAAAACAAAAATAAGTATAAAGCTGGATATCAACAATTTTGTTGAGCGTAGTGTAAGAAGTATTGTGTGATTTGAAGATGAAGCTTAAAGTATAAGGGCCAAGCATTATTTCAGTTTAGCAGTAGTATTAAGTAGAAGGATAACACACAAATGAGAAGAATGAAATGGAAAGTAGAGTTCTAGCTTCATTTCTGTCAAGTGACACTCAGCCCAAAATTTGGGATTCCCTCTTTCTTAATCAAGGAAACACTTCACTTGTTCATCTTGTAAACTGTTTTTTCTGGGTTTGGTCATCTTGTGCTTTTTTATTGTTGTTTGTTTGGGTTTTATTTAGTTTTGGTGGGGTTTTTTTGTTTTCGTTGGGGTTCTTTTGGGGGGTTGGAGGTTTTTTTAGCAGATCAGCATGGAGGAGAAGCTGGGGACATCAGAGAGGAAGTGAAAGAAGGGAAAGTGTTTTTTGCAATACAGTGTAATTTATTAAGTACGTAGAGGCTTCAAAGAATAAAGCTCTGAAAGAAGTGTTGAAACGGATGCAATGATCTTCCTGCTCCGGTCTGAATAAAATCTGAAATGTAAATAAGTGGCATAAATGCTGAACAGCAAGTTTTAAAAGCAGTAAGGGCATCACTGATTTGAAGGAAATTGAGATTGTAGTGATTGTTAATACCAAAAACCAAAGCATCCCTGCTGAGGGCTATAATCCAAGAACACACTGCAAATCTTGTTATTATTTGGAGTGTTCATGCAGAAAACAAATTGCAAAGTAAGGAAGGAATGTTCATTTCCTGATACTGAATGCTAGCACAAAATGCAGTGATTCCCATAAATGAATTTACCAATGTTATCAGTTCTCGGATAGAAATTAAATTTTGAGTTAAGCTCGAGTGCATAATAACTTAGTGGTGAAACAGTTACGGATGTTGTAATTATTCCTAGACCAGTTACTGCAGCAGAAAGAAAGCGTGTTAGGGTGCAGCTGAAAATAAATCCAACAGGAAACAATTTAGAAAATGCAGTGAAGGCATTCAGACTACTGTAACTCTTTTATACACTACATCTCTCAGTAGTTAAACAGCTCTAATTGGTGTTTAATAGAGTTCTGGTCCACAGGAGCTCAGACCAACTTCAAAAGATACGTATTGGCTGACTTTTTCACCTCTCTTTCTCCCTAGCAGTTAGCTACTAGGGAGGTTGTTTTAAATGCCTAAGACATGCACACACAAAGCTAAGAGATTTAGGGGAATTCAGGGTGCGTGACAAATTTGAAGGACTTTGAATACTCTGTGCTTTGGATTACTGGTGGCAAAATAAGCCATACAAAATGCTCATTTTCCTAGTTGATCTCTTTTGAGTTGTATGTATTCTCATTTTTCAAAACTCAGGATGAAATATTAAACTTGGAGAAATACAGAAAACTTTATTCTTGCTAGTTAATGGAATGTTTCAATCCTTGTTTTGCTTATAAATATTTTTTAAGGAACTATGTCTGTTCTGTGTAACATACATATCTCCTCTTACAAACCCTGTGCAAGTGGCGTGCAATACCAAGATAAAATGAATGTTTCCCTCTGTACAAAGAACTTTTTTCCTTTGAATATCAATCATAACATGGTATTTGATATAGCTGATCTTTTTGAAGAAAAGGTTACTGCAAGTTTTGGGAGCTTTGTTTTTTTTTTTTTTTTTTTTCTTATTGAATAGTTTGGGAGGTAGGAGAGTTGTGGACATGCCTTTACTTGGAAAGATAAATAAAAAAACCTCAACCCAAATATTCTGAACCTGTTTTTCCAAATTAAAGGCTACTTGAACCATTAGTTAATGTCATATGTAAGTAACCAGGTGTTGAACAAGCAGCTTCATAAAGCTTTTGATCTGTTTCTCTTGCTGCTTCAGTCCTGGGCTTCACCAAAGCAGAGACTGCTGATCACGCAGCCCCTTTGTATGGTGGTTTACCAATCCACACACGTGGGAAGTGAAATGAGATTGACGTTTTCCCTTAAGTCATCAGGTAGAGTTGGCAACCTAAGTCTCCAAAGGCTAATCTACATGCCACAGGACACGCTTTATTTTCTCTAGTCCAGACCTTTGCAAATATATCTTTCTTAGAATAAATGTTAGAACTTTTGATGAAAACATAGGACATAAATATGACAATTTTTAAGTTACAAGCTGCTCTGTTTTCTCTGGTATGTGAAAATTAGTGGCATGATTTCACAGAATACATATGTTCATAGATTTTCATCATAGATTTATTTGTTGAAAAAGAGTCTTTTTCACATAGTAAGTAGTAGATACTAGGATTTACTGGATTTGCTGGACTCCTATGCAGGAGCTCCATGGGTGGTGTTCAGAGGCATTTTGGAGTGACTTGAGGAAATTCTGAACTGCAGTACTGCAGGGGAGAGAGAGGTGAGCTGAGGAAGTGAAGTAGATGACATTTTTTGTGGAGAAGGGAAAGAAGGCATATAGGAAAGTCAGGAAAACTGCACTGAGGGTTGCTTCTCCGCACTGTTTTTCATCTCTTTGCCTGGAATTTTTCCTCTTGCTCCTCTGTAGCTGACCGTTTTACCCACTCATTGTCCATAATCGTCTAGTCAATTAGCTCCACAGGGAATTTGTTAGAATTGCAACTCTTGAACCAACAACTCTTCTGTGGGTTGTGCGAATGGTTCTTTCTTTAACCATTTTCATCTCTGAAGAGCTGAATAGATTACATAGAGTTCCAGGCTCCAAATTGGGTGTGCTGTTCAGGGTGCCTTGCTGTGCAACCATCTTCCCTCTCTGTGCATCCTTGCCCCTTTGAATGAAAACAGCTAGATAGCTGCTGACTAGACAGGGAGCCTTCATTTTTTTAATTCTAATTTCTTACGCTTAAATTTGTCATGTTTGTGCTATGCCATTCC